CTATCTATCTATCTATCTATCTATCTATCTATCTATCTATCTATCTATCTATCTATCTATCTATCTATCTATCTATCTATCTATCTATCTATCTAAATAACAAAGTAAATAATAATAAGTTTCTAAGTCATTTGGTCATTGATGGTATCTCACCATCATGGTTCTGATATTTCCAGGTTCTAGACAATCCCCCTTACACAAATACTCTACTATGAAATACAAGTACACGCAAGTTATAAGAAATACATGTTCCTGAAAGCTTTTAACTTTAAAGTAAATAGGTTTTATATGTGTCCTCTGATGTGACACTGAATAACGACTGCAGGCACACCGACTCCTTCCCATGTGTGCTGCACCTCTTGAACAAAATCTGATTTCACCCTTTTTATCAACCAGCCTCTGTCGGGATTTTCTGGGTCACCTTGGTAAAACACCAAGCTGATCCACATCCTGCTGCACACTGGCCCCTCCACCTTTGTGAATTCACTCACTTCCTTTTGGCTCATCCTCCCTTGCCTACAGGAAGGACAAAGAGATAAGTGGAAGAGGAGGAAGAAATGCCAATGCTGACGAGTCATTATTATCACTATCTGGTTGTGGACCTCTGAATCAGTCAACATATCTCATTTTTTTCATTTGGTTGGACTAAGAATAGGAAGGTCATCTTGCTGTGACAGGGTCAGAAACATGGCTATGCTAGATTCACTGTTACAGCAAGTAGGGAAGAAGTTGTGATGAGCTTTGATTTAATCAATATATTTAGTGCTAACAGAAAATAATAATAATAATTCTGTATGTTTTTTTCTCAGAGAACCTGCAATAACTTATTTTCTTGCTTTTTGGGGCCAAAACTGTGAACACACAGAATATTATCACCATTTAATTTTATGTTGAGAATTCACCAGAAGTCAGCAGACTTGAGACTTTTAGAGACAAGTCTTATCTATTGACATTCTTGTTGTCGTCATTTTTTATTTGCTTTTATTTGTTTTACCTTGTTGCCCTTCAGTAAGTGTTTGGTTCCATTTAGCTACTGGGTTACGGTAAGAAAAGGCTCATAGTTTGGGTTTAAATACACCCTGCTGCTGTTTTTAGCATACGTTACCAAGCTCCATTTTGTACATTTCGAGTGTGAAGACTCCACTGGAAAATTACATTCACTTATTTACGCGATCATAAGAAGTAGCCTTCACTACCTGTGTTATTTTCTGTTTCATTAGTGATCACAGTGGATGAGAAATTCTGGTCTACCAGTGTGTGGAGGAGGTCCCTGCTGGCTGATATGTATGAGAATGATGTGATAACAGGGCAATTAATAGGCTGATAACGTCCAAATAAGGCACCAATATTCTCTCTCGTGAAGCCCCATGTTTGGTCTCTACCAACTTCTCCGGAAAATGTCTCTGTCTTTAGCTAAATTATCTACCATGTTCATCTGCTAATCCCTGCTAGAGGGATGCTCTAGTGTACAGTGGCATTGTATTATTTTTAGAGTTTTTTAAAGCATAGTGTTTAGTTGAAAATAGCTTAACATCACAGGGGCGGTGAGCCAAAATTAGCAAAATTGTAGTTGGACAGCTAAACAATAAGTAATAAAGTAAAGCTGCAGATTTAGCTGATAATTTTCTGTAGGGTAATCAAAGACTCAAAGACATTTTTTTTCCACATTGTAAATAAATTGGTGTGTTTGCAATAAAAAAAGGCATCCGTTCAAGCAAGCATAAGTAGAATGGAGAGGAAACTATACAGCAGATTGGAAACAGGTTACTTGTAGCTCTGTCTTGGTTTCCATATTAACCAGCTGCAGAAAGGAAATCTGGGTAATACACAATAATACATTTTACTTGTACTGGTTGTGAATCAGGAGGTATAGCAGGTTGTTCACTGATCACAGTGTTGGGGATACATGTTTCTGAAATCTTTGTCATTAAAGTGTAAAAAAATTCAGTCAATCTAATTGAATGCCACATTAGGAACTTTGAAGGACAAAATAGATATAGGAAAAAGTAGTTAAGAAAGAAGACATAAAGAGAAAGATCCCACTGAAACCAGACTTCTCATCATTTCTGTGTGAGTTTTTATTCCGGAAACCTCCCTGGTGTGAAAACAGAGCCAAGCTTAAAACAAAGAACAGCTTCAGTTTGTTCTCCTTCTAGCTGTTAAGGATGTAAATCTCCAATGAGCACTCAGGAAAAGCGAGGAATCACAGAGGAGGTGATGCTGCAGTCTGCATGGAAACTGGACAAAAACAAAACAAAACGGTTTCCTCTGTGAAGGTGCAGAAGGTCAGAGGTCACAGGACCGGCCCTCCTCATCAACCCTAGTCTTAAAGAAAGTGAAGGGCGGAGGAACAGACCTGGGAGCCATGAGTGATTTATTAGTATCTCAGAAGCCATGTGAGCCTAATTAATTTTAGTTTAGTAACTTGACACTTGAATGACAAATGGACCTTCTGAGACAGAACCAGGATCAACATCAACACAAGCTTTAGACCATGTTACAATTGAAATATTAACGTTTAATATTTCAGAATTGGGTTAATTCTTTGGAATGAGTACAGGTTGCTCCTCATAATCCTTCAGCTATACAACTGTTGGACAATAGCAAAAAGATAGTTTAGCAAACCCCCAGACTGAATCCTAACATTTTACCTGAACGAACATTCCCAAATTCAGTCACAGTCCAGACCCAAAACGATCAACCTCGGGCTCTACAGAAAAGAGACACTGAGTGAATTTTAAAATGCAATAAGCCTTCTTATCTCCAGGTCAGAGGGAGCATGAAAAACATACTATCACCTACAGCAAAAACTGTGAAGCACAGCAATGCTACGATGCTAGAGTCTGGAAGGTTGCATTTTCAATACAGCCTGATCCCAGCATGGGGACCTCCTGGTTGTATATGCGTGTCCAAACCTGACATGCGTAGAGTGAACGGGCCATTATTAAAATCTTAGGATATTAAGACTTAATCCAGCTGCTGTTTTGGTGGGAAGTAGGACTGTGCTATGTATTTTCCCTCAGGCATACATAATACAAATTGATCTTTAATGTGATTGTTAGGTCTTGTCACAACTTGTGAATGCAGCTATGTCACCATGATGTAGCTGCTTTGGTCTCTGTATACGTTAGCTATTTGGCTGATGATAACCACATAGTCTTTTGCACATGTATGTAAAGTAGAGCAAACAGTACAGAGTAATCAAAACGTAAAAAATGTTTTGTTTCCACTTCCACATGCATGTTTGAGCCAAATATATTAACACCTTAGGGCACCCTGGACAAAAATACACTGACAGCCTGTTATCGACATCCCACATTTCATGCGCTGAACAATCAATTAATTCGTAATTCAAAACCATTATTATGGTTTCAGACTAATAAAATCTGTAAGATGTTTTCTTTCATGTCACCATATAGATCTGAGGCGAGCTGTAGGCCTAAAAGCATCTGGTATCAGTGTAAATTAGGGCATTGTTGAAAAGAGACCTCATGTTTGGCTGGTCGTCTCTGGATACACAAAGATTAACAGTGTTTGTAATAGATACAGCGATGTCATGCTGACACGAGGTGAAGAGCATGTGTGTTTATCCTGCACGTAAACAACTGGCTCATTTCTCATCCAAGGCCCAGCAGATGTCTGTCTGACCAGATCTGAGCAACCTCATGACTTAACACAGTCTCTGTTCAAAAACCCAACAGGCATGACAGACAACCGTGACTCAGGAAGCACTGCTATCGGTGATGCTTGACAACTGTTTCTCGTTTAAGGTTTTATTGTTTCCCAGCCACCACTGATGAATGAACTAATAAGAAAAAATAATGGAATTACCATTTTTGGAATTACTGTGGTAATTATTAATATAAAGCACACAACATTTGTTTTTTTAAAAATGTTGAATAAAATAAAAATGATGTCCTCAAACATTTGAATTGAACTGAAGCACAGACCTGATGCAGGACAGTGTTGACTGTGTTTAAAAAAGATGTAGCCTCTGAAAAGTGTAAAAGTACCTTAAATCTTTTTATCTTTCTTTCTACCAGCCAGCAGGGGGCGACTCCTCTGGTTACCAAAAGGAGTCTGATTATATAGAAGTCTATGTGAAAAAGACTGTTTGATCTGTTACCTCAGAAAACATTTTCTAATGGGTTTATGGTCCCAATAAGTAGTTTCAAGTCTCATTCAGTACAGCATGAAGTTCATTTTGAAAACACTTCCATATGGGCATGTGCAGTGTGCTGGAGTTATCAGTCAGATCCACCACTTTGTCGTCACATCTACTTTTAAAAGACCAAGAAGGCAAATGCCAAACTCAAAACGTTCACACACACTTACAGTCTCTGGTGGAATCATATCTCCTTTCAGACATGATCCCCTGTACATTAACCTGGTCCCTGGATTTCTGTGTGTGTTTATGCTGTTTGCTCACAGTTTTTGTACATATCTGCCAAACATTGCAGCAGCATTCACCGCTTTTCTCTAAATATCCTGCTGTTGCTGAATACATTTGTAAAAAAAAAAAAGCATTTGCACAAACGTCATTTTGTCAGAGTTGAAAATGTGGCTATTTTACACATTTCATACCTGAAACAGCCCGTTCTCTGTTACCTTCCATTTTTGATTAACTGTGTCCTACTTTCTGTCCAGGCTGATGGCTCAGAGGAGCATTGAGGACGCTGAGGAGGTGGAGAGGGAGCGTCGTCGACGAGCTCGAGAGGCTTTACACCGGAGGAGCAGTGGCTCAACACCTGACGAGTCGTCTCCAGAGTGTGAAACGCCAGCAGAGGAGAGCATGTAAGTATAGACAGGGCAAAACCAAAGTTATGAAAGTGCAGTTTGAATGTTCCTCTCTCAGGATATAAAGGAACGTACAAGTAGAGTTCAGAGTGGTGTTTATTCTGTTGGTATGTTTGTCCACTTTGGCCCAGACTGGAATATCACAGCAACTATCACAAGGCTGGATTGCCAAATAAACAGCTTGAGCAACTACTCGGGGCCCAAGAACCATGGGGACATCAAAGGTCAAAGGCTTACTATGTCTAAATCTTAGCGTAATTTGAATAATGGCACATTTGTTACCCAACAGTGTTACCAAGAGTGATCCTCCATTGTTCAGCCTATGGTCTGATCATATAGAAGCCACCTGAGTCAAAATCTAGCTCATAATGAGCTAATTTTTTGTCTTTATTTGAAAAATAAACTTGTTTTAATCCCCCAAAAATTAATTATTGTCAGGCTGCAAATAGGGGTGTCACATACCGATGTTGATGATAATCCATAGACTGTATAAAAGATGGACGT